AATCTTTTCAAAGCAGACGAAGAAAAGTCCATTAAAATAAATAGTCTCATTTACAAAGAGACTGAAATGTTAGCAAGACAGAAACCTAGTTTTTCGGCTTCAGACATGATTTTAATTCTGTGCTTCTGCATTAATCCAACACTAGATTGTATACACAAGTTTTGCTTCTTGAGTTTAGAAGTGCAGGTGAACATGCTCTACACTATCAAACATTGCACTCGAGATGTATTGCGGGACATGTAAATTCAATTCCTGCTAAAAAAAATTCTATTTAAGCCACCCATCTAATAATATATATATGTCCTCTCTGTTCATAGATATATGCTCTTAACAAGCGGCGTCACCCTCTTTCCCCGAGTTATTACTTCAATGCAAATCGAAGGAAACTGTGAATATTGAATATTAACTGTGTCTCCATTGAGATGCGCTTGGCTTCATGGATGAGTAAAACTGACAAAACAGAAGGAGCTGTCAGAGGACTGTATGACTTCAAGGCAGATTTAGAATTTAGCAGTGGTTCAGGCTGAAATCCCTCCTGGCTAAGATAAAGTGGAGACACAAACCGAAGCGTGCAGTGTAGCCCACGCTTTGTGTGAATAAAGATTTTTTAAAAAGAGAAAAAGGGAGAGAGAATTGACTGAGGAGATAAACAGTTCCCCCAGACAGACACAGAGGGATAAAACCAACATGGAGCGCACGCTGAGCACATGCTAAACAAACACGGGCTATGATAGCGGCTCAGTGGGACTACAGGAGTGCCATCCAGGCCACACACACACACAAATACACACATGCACCATGGTGGGATGATTTTGGAGGATGGCATGGAATAAAACAGTCATGCGGACAGGCTAGGTGAGGAGTAGACTGTGTGTATCTGAAGACAGTTGGTCCTAAATGTAATCGTATGTGTGCGTATGTGTGTGTGTTGCAACAGCACTGTGGCGGTACGTCAGTCAGTCAGTGGGGCTGTGTTGAGGGATTACCAGGGTGGCCTGCATGGGCTTGGGGTAATCTCTCCTCTCTTCTTACGTAACACTGGGCCATTAGTCAGCACTAACGCACAATCAACAACACAATCAACAAAAACAGGCTCGACAACAGACTGAGCAGTTTCATGAGGACACTGCCAGCCTCAGATTCACTCCGGCCAGGTGCCCACTATGGTGCACAATAAGTGATTTCAAGGCAACAATAGAAAAGTGATTTGGTGCGAAAGCTGTGCACTGACATGCTGTTTCTGACTGAGGATGGTCTCTTATCACTCAGTATGAAGAATGACCGTTTCTATTCTGGTGTAGTTGTTCATTGCAGGTGCTAAAAGAGAAGTGTTAGTAAAAACAGGTGTTTCATATGACTTTAATAATCTTTTGGGACACTTCATAGTGTATCTCATTCATATCTTATCCCCACAATTTAGCACAATACATGAAATGAGTGGGTTATAAAGCACTCCAATGAGGTTTTAAGAAGATTAAAGTACATTGGTATAATGAAATATAATTTTTTTTATTAAATTCTCCTATGAAGTCATATTTTATATTATTACAACTTTATTTTTGCTACATCGTGCATTACAATTAGTCTAAAAATCAACCTACACTTATGGAAGCTGTTGACAATTACATTAATAATCCCCTTATATCTGCTAACAACTTTATTGTATGGTTACAAACCACTTATCCACTGCTTGTAAATGCTAAATAAAGGGGATAAAGTCAATTGGCAACAATATCTTATAAACACATTGATCCAGTTCATAGGTATTAATAAACCAAGTTAACATTAAAACAGAAACAAATACTGAATATAAATGATGAAATAACTGAATAATTTGTGCCAAATGTCATAGCTACAGGTTTTTAGTGTGACATAGATTTAACTTAACAGACTGCTTCCGTTGGCTTCGACCAAGCATTGATCCCGGGATGCTTTAGTATCGGACTAAAATCAATGCTCACCCAAGCCTCTAAAGCAAAGCAGGATGGGACTAATTATATTGGCATGAGGCCGTCATGCGTAGTATTGCAGCTGTGTGTGTGTGTCTGTGTGTGTGTGTGTGTGTGTGTTTTGTCTGTGTGGGTGTGTGAGTATTTTTAGTGCTTTCTGCATTTTAGTTAGAGCTCATGCCATACGTCCTATAAAAGATGTAAATGGAGGTTTCCTTTGCTGTAGACTCTAAATATGTTTCTTTTGAAACTGTCATCACCTTTTGCTCTCTCACACTTTCCGTCATCCTATCTTTTCCGATGGTGAAGGAGCATGGAAATGTGTGATTGACACATATCGCTAACACAGGAGATCAAATGGCACTGTTGACCCCTCCTCCCCTGTTGCTTCCTCCATCGCTGAACTCATTGACCTGGCTGACCCGCTGCATCTATATGCTGTAGGAGCGCTTAGGCTTATACCAGTATTACAAAGAACACACAGAGCCAGGCTAACGAGGACCAATATAAGGAGCACTGCGAAAATAGGAAGGGAATGACATGCAGTTTACACGTCTACAATGTCAGTGGGGTTGAGCAAATTCTTGTACATTTTAATAAGTATCCAAGTTTGCAAATGCTTTAGTTTTTTCTCAATAGAGGCATTGTGCTTTCATTGAAAATGATTGAATGAAACATTTAGTTGGAGAAAGTTGATGAAATGTACTGTTAGAAATAAGATGAATCTAACATTTGAATGCAAATATAAACAGCAAATCTAAACAGATTAAAACATAATTTTGTTCAGGCTTGTTTAGGGCTATTGCTTGAATATAAAACCAAAACTTTGTTCCACTCAAAGATATAATGGCAGTGTTACTGATATAATTTAATCAACTTCTTTGTTAGGTTTTAACTAAACACTATTACAGCACAGCATCATTTTGCCATTGAAAATACAGAAACAATTATCTTGTTTACAACAACCTCCACAGCACTGAGCCATACTGAAAAAAACCCCACAATGCTTCATTTTCTGAGATGAGGAAAAGGCCCTGATGATATTTATCTGTTATTTCTCTCTTGCTTTTCCCCCCGTCAGGCGATGGGGTGACATCATCTTCGGTCAGGGCTTCAGGAGTTGTGGCTATTGTTAAATGATAATTACCACGGCTCATGAGGGGCCTCTATTTTTTATAACCTTGTGGTTGTGAGCGCATTTCTGTGTAAGGGCAGCCGAGACTCCACACACACAGGTTGAGAGTGGGGGCCGCACGGCCCACACTGATTTAATTCTATCTGACAAAACCCTTTGGGGCGTGCAGAGGGAGAGAGGAAGATGGAGAGAGAGAGGGAGAGAGAGACATGGAGAAAGAAGGGTGAGAGAGACGCTTCAGGGGCCTCCATTGCCAACCACGGCTATAAAGTGAAAGCAGGAGATTTCGGTATACCGCCCAAAGCCTCCCTTGCACGAGAGTGGTCGTGAGGCCCATTAAAATGTGGATAAAATACAAGGTGCACGACAGAGGAGTTCACGGGATGAGAGAGCGAGTGGGGGGTGTTTGGCCTTCTCATGTTTTGTCTTGCCTGAGGTTTGATGGCCTGAAGCTGAGGCAGCAGAATGCTTTAAGTGACATTCAAACACAAAAAGCATCAGTAGAGAGAGAGATAGATAGATAGAAAGATCGATGGATAGATTGATAGATAGATGGAGAGATTGATCGGAATCTTTTTTTCTAGCAAAAACTAAATTAAAATTAAGTTTGACCCATTAAATAGTGTTCAATCTATCTTGTTTATCATTATAATGAATTATGAAGTCATTTATAATGTGGATAATAATGATGATGGCCAATCATTTATCCTTGGATATTATCAACATACAACATCTGATAACAACATAACAGTGAAAAAAGTATCTTTAAGATGCCTGTGTCTTTTAATTTTAAGCAGATGCTAACTTTATTTGAGTTTGACATCATATCTCCCTTCAAATTATAGTGCAGAGCTTTTAAGTTGTATGCTACATTTATGAGAACAATTTCTGTCCCTCCTCCCTATTTCTGTCACAACGCTCCTAATTAGTTCAATTGTTTAAAAGGATGAAGAGGTTATTACAGTCAGAAACAGAGTGACTTGTAAATGAAGAGTTCAAGATCATTCAGTTGAACGAGTGTTGCGACTTTGCGTCATACATAATTACCCAACATTGAAACAGTAAATAAAAACAAATCAGCTCATAATAATTAAGTTACGCATTCGTAGGGACTTACACCAGCGATAAAGTAAACACTGATTTACGAGAAAACGAATTAACGCATCTTCCTGATTTAAAGGTAATTTGACTGCAAAGAATGACTTAGTGAAAGTGAGAAGAGCTGTGTCAACCTGTGTGTGAATGTGTGTATCTCTGTAGAGTGTGTATGTGTGTTTGTGCGCTCAGGACGACATTGACGTTGAATTGCAACGTCCCCGGCCCAGTGCAGAAATGGGTTAGTAGAGCGCTAGAAAAGTATCCCATAAAGTTTATCCCCAGAACATAACGAAATAAAGTTGTGTTTTTTTCTGCACATCATCTGATCTAATCTGGTGGCAGCCTGTCCGCAGATTCCGTTGGGTTGGAGCTCAAATGATTAAAGCTTTAATCAAACATCATGCGCTACTTTTAATTTGCAACCACAGATTTCAATGGATTTGCGCATGAATTAGCAAAACTGTAGGACTATTCCTCATACACATAGACACACGCTCAAACTCTCTCTCACACACACGCAGAGATAGATCCATATAAACTTTAGGGGTGCAAGGTGCTGAAATATTCAGCCACACACACTCCGCTCGGCTCGACAAATCAGCTTCGCAGCTGAAAACTCCCAGAATAAACTTTCAAGGCCAAAGGTGGGATAAAGCCTGCCGTGCAACGTGTGTGTGTGTGTGTGTGTGTGTGTGTGTGTGTGTGTGTGTGTGTGTGTGTGTGTGTGTGTGTGTGTGTGTGTGTGTGTGTGTGTGTGTTTAGCGGGATGACGCTCTGGGGAAAGTGCGGTGGTGTTTGGAGCAGTGTGATGGTCTTACCTCGCATGGTGTTGGATTTGCTCGAGCTAGTGCTGAGGCTCCCCTCCCCTCCCCAAGTCATGAAGAAACGAACATAAACACTTTTTAAAAAATGGGGGTGATGTGGGGGAAAGATCCTCGGTTAAAAAGAACAACTACAACGAAAAGAGTGTTGGAGATCTGCGTCGGTGTCCACGGGCTGCCCTGAGTGGAGGAGTCTCTGCGCTAAAAGCATCCCAGACTGGGGCGCAGGGAGGCGGGCTGAGGTCGGTCGGTGCTTCGGTCGTTGTGCTGTGGTCGTGCGGTCGCTTTTCTCATGACATCTACGCTCTCACCTCTGTGGGAGGGTTTCACTGTTTTCTGCGGGCTCAGGGAGGGAAGAGCGTATAGGAGAGGCTTTACCCGGCGGCCCTGATTGGACTGGAGCACTTTCTGCTCCTCCCACTCTCTCCTGCTCAGCCTCCAGCCCGGAGCACACACACACACACACACACTGATACACACAGACACACACTCACACGCGCGCGCGCACTATGTCGCTACAGTACACAGACACAGTCACAGCAAAGTTTTAATGTCACCCTCCTCATAGGCAGCTCCATGCAATTCAGACTATTGTGTTGCACGCACAATAAAGAGGAAGTATATCTTTAATCTGATCTCTGCTTCGAGGGTTATGTCTCGTGGAATGACATTATTTATTAGGCTACTTTCTTATTTTTCATAAACGTGGGGTATATATATTCACACACAACTAAGTTGATTTAACACAGTTAAACCAAGTTAATTTGAAGTCTCAAAGTGAAGGCAGACTCTTGTCTAGTGACAAACTGGATGCATTTGATAAGTTTGGATCAGTTTTAGGTTCGAATTATGTTTTCTTCTAATTAAAATATTTTTGCAATTAAAAAAATCTTCTGATTAGTGTCCAACAAGATGAAAACATAGTGATAACCCATACTTTAGAATAATACTGACTGTTCATTGTTTCTTGTTGATCTAGTATATAAATCAATATTTATATATATTATATTTATGTAATATATGTTTTAATTGATGGAGATGTCATACGTTTAAGCATATATGTAAATTAGTCCAAGAGACTTTATCATCACAAAAACGTGTCCAATGTTTATGTATTACAGAAAAGGACATACGATTGTTACATAAAGTTATGTTTGTATTTAGTACAATAATTAAATAATTTTGCTAGAGCTTACAAAAATATACAGTATAGAGACTGACAGATCTCATGTCACAGAAGGAAGAGCAGCTCGATGACATGAGTTGTCTCAGGTGTCTCCAGGTTTGCATTCAGGGTGGGGTCCTCTGCTTCCTCTAAGAAACCTCTGGGTTGCTGATTGTATTGTTAATATGATTAATAATATGTTTATTATAACAGGCTTTTCCCTAATATATTACAACTAGAAATGTAGCAGTATTCCCAGTGTTTTATGGACTAACAATCAATGTTATCAAATGCAAATTGAATATGTTACATGGTTACATTGCAGCCATTTCTATAAGGCCACTTTACAAGTGCTCTGTGAAATGCTCAGTCTCAGATATGTTGGAAGATGTTTCACTGTACTGCTGCACTGTAGGGAAATTAGTTTGAAATCTATTTGGCTTTTGAATTGAAAAAGGCACACAGTTTGTCACGCTATGATTTCCTCTTAGTAGTGGGGAATAATTATAACTGGTGTTGTTATCTTATTTTCTCACTGTCCCCATCAGGGGTCGACCCCACCAGGTCTCTTTTGACCCAGGACCAGACTCCTGGTGACCTCCGGTGCTCTGCTCAGCAAAATATTAAGACAATGTGAAAATGGATCTTGTCATGAATGGGCAGAAGTGAGTGTCTCTCCTGTCGGTGCTGAAAAGAACCACTCCTGTCAGACTCGGTTAGCATCACGCCCGGCGTTCAGCGTCTGGCATTAGATTTTCTGAGAGATAACACTGTCGAAGCTTCTGAGCGAGGTAGGAGAGAGGCAGGTGTGGTTGAGAGGCACTTTCACCCCCAGTCTCTTTTAGCCTCTTTAGCTTTGGCCCAGGGAGAGAGAGAAACAGAGAGAGAAACTGCCCCAAGCACATCTCCACTGACCTACATTTCATCTGTCGCTTTTTTCCACTCTTCCCTTTTTTCTCCATCTCTTATTTCTCCTGTACACCAAAAGCTCCGTAATTGTGATGTAATGACCAAAGCAGGCGTGATAAAATCCCAGACTGGTCAGGATGAAATGCTCTTGAAGACATGCAGACAGAAGAGGCCGATAAAGAAAAGAGGAGACAGGCAGGGGGGGGGTTAAAATGAAAGAGGTGGGGGTGGTTAGCACTTTAAAACACAAAAAAGGTTTCGGCCCTCTTTGTCGAAGCAATAAAAAGTGTCCTTATGTGATCTGCTGTGTAGACTTCAATCCATCTGAGGGCTGGGGACTCCATTAAGAAGGATTACCCCTCATTGCCAACTATTCACTGTTCTCCCAAAGCCACAGGGATAGCATGGAAATTACGTTTAAATTACGTCGTCTGTTGGGCGGGGATGAGAAGAAAAGGAACATATAGGTTGTTTTTTGATGAGACATACTGGAGTATGGGCTGCTCTGTCCATATGGTGGTAGGAGGGAGGAAGGGAGCAGGAGAAGCAGCCCGGGCCATGCCTAAGGGCTGAACTTGGAGAAGGAGAAAGCAGCACTCTGCGCCGAGATGGGATCTTCGGTCCTTCTGCCTTTATGTTTCACTGTCTGTTTCTATTGGCTGGCTGAGCGCTGCCTGCTCCATCTCCGTCTGTCTGTCTACCTTTCTATCCTTTATTGAAGGTCGTAAAATGTATACTGAACGAATTGGCTATGAATATATGTGTCCATTACGTCTAACATTATTATTTCACATGCATTTTCTCCTCCTTTTTGTCTTCCCTCTCTCTTTTAGCAACACTAGCGGTGTGGCTCGAGGCACGGCAATGTCAGTCTGTCTGTTGGTCCAACACTTTTGTCCAGTCTGAAATATATCAATAACTATTGGATGGATGGCCAATGAAATATGGTACATTCATGTGCCAATAGGATTCATCCTAATTACTTTGATTGAAATGTTCCACCAGCACCACAAGATGTAACATTTCAATTTATAAAATTCTTTAGTTTATGACAAAATACCTTAATAATACAGTTACCAGTCTCAGCTTGACTCTGGGTAATGTGTCTATCAGCAATATTTGCAAGCTGGTAAGCTCCACTAACATGGTGAACATGTTAAATATTATTCTTTCTTGCAGTCTTTGGGAAGTGTTTTGATTGGAATTGTGTTTATCAGCAATGATTCAGGAAAAAAATCATGAAGGTCTCTTTCCCGATGTAAGTCAATGGGAGAAAGTCTTTTTTGGGCCCAATTTACGCCAAAGACTAGAACGTAAGCGTAGTACAACCGTTTGGTCACTTTCTTCAACTGCCGGCGTTCTTCCTGGGCCTTGACTTCAATCCCCACTCCTGATTACCTGCAGTAACATGTAGCTCTTTTGCTGGCCGTTCACCAGACCCTGGGACCCTGGTGATGGATAGTCACATTCCCTTCAGTAAATGTCTTAATTCAGCCACGTCATAGCTATACGTCACTGCTATGCATAGATGTTTATCAATCTGTTGCACCTCCTGGATCCTTCTTCATTTTCTTTTTTTATATAGACACATATTTTCTAACATTAGCACTGTTTATGTTGTTATTGTTTTATGTTTTTAATGTAGACACAAGACACCTATTGCATGTGTGTTCGTCCATATTTTCCCCCATTTATCGTGGGGTTTCTTTGGGAGTTAATTCCTTGTACGATGCAAGGGTCTAAGGATATGGAGTCGTATTCTGTTCAAACTGATAAGCCCCCAGAGACAAATGTGTAATTTGTGATATTGGGCTATCTAAACAAAATGTGATTGATTCTTGGAGTGAACACAGTTAAAACCATGCACGGACTTTTCCCTTACAAATCTTTGACCATCACATCTAATGCTCTGTCTGCTATACAGAGATGTTGCTTTGAACCCCGAGCAAACAGGCCATGTGCCAAACGTATATTTAATGATATGTGTTGGTTAAGTGTTGCAAATCAGAATGATCGCAAATATATATTCATTTTCATCCCACCGCCTGCTGCGAAGTGGAGTTATAGTGGCAGACATCCCGTGCATTCACTACAGTTACCCCCTTTTGAGTAGATCTGATTCAAATGTAAAGCACCTTGCTGACTTAATCTGTATCATACAAGGCCATTTAAAAAGAATAAACATGATAATCTATGTTTAGGTTTGAATGAATGCATGCAAACAAGAGCATTTCGATTTTCTCATCTTTGATTTTGAGTGTGGATTATTTCTTACACACTTTATATTGATTAGTACATTTCTTATATATATTTACATTGTTATTCTGCTGTTTTTTATTCTTAGGTTGTTGTAGTCTTTGAGCAATCTCTGGCAGAATACTTTTCTTTTGGATTAATGAATTTGTTATTTAATGCATTTCAATTTTGACCCAATGTGAAAAGCAACTCAAACATAATGCAAAATTCAGAACTAACCTTCACACTCACTCACATGCACACACACATCCGCAGTATCTCATTATGATCAAGCTACTGTGTGAACAGCACACCAGTGGAGAGATATGATTGTGAGTTGAGAGACAAGAGAGAGAAGACAGCAGGATGTGGTAGCCTTGTTTCTTTTACGGCTGTTCATCATACCAGTCAGTGTTGTCCTTGAATCGACCACTAGGAAGTTAACTTATATATAATTAGATAAGTTTCCTCTTGAAAATAAGAAATTAGGCCACAGGTCTCTGAGGAATCTCCCTCTCCGATCTTACCACATGTTTCACACTGCCTCTTATTTCCCCCTGAAACAAGCAGGTGATTTTTCACTGCGACACCGTGGTGTGTGTTTGGGTACGAGCAGATCATGTGTCTGTGTATTTGTGTGTCTGTGCACGTGGCATTTTATATATTTATATATGTATGCGAGTGTGGCCATACACCTCCAAGACTGTTTTGCTGTGAAATAGAGGTTGCTCATTCATTTTTTTCATCATGCACCAAATTGTTTCACATATATTGCTCCCGTATAATGTGACATTGACGCATTGACATGTCAAGTGAGAACTCAAAGACAGAGAAAGAAAGCCAAAGAGGGAGAGATGAGAGATGAAGAGAAAAGGACACACAGAGAGAGAGAGGGAGAGATTGAGAAATACACTTGAGAAATTTGCCGAGAGATACCACAAGTGACATAGGCAATTTCTGTAGAAAAATTACTTCATCATAATTTCAATCCCAAGAAGAATTGAAAGGAAA